GTTCTATGGTCCTCCAGAGCCAGGAGGAGGCAATAGAGCCACAACCTGTTGAGTCATCCAGCTGGCCTGCAATTACCTGACCCCAGTCACAGACTCATACAACTACCATGAGTTATACACAACGATTTTCCCTATGATACACTACACTATTCTATTAGCACACTAGACGGTGCTACACAAAAGTGCCTAACTGCCATGTACATGGTAAAAGCCAAGCTGATGAGAGGGCTCACCCTTACACCTCTTGTTCTGTTTCTCCCCCCTTCCGAGGTTGATGACAGGTTATGACAGGACACAGGTGGCATGGGTGCCTGGGGTAAGTCCTGGTCAACGGTATAACTCTATCCCTACCCCAATCCATCAGACTATCACCTACTCTCCTCTCCTTTAGGCGCACCCTGAAAACCCACCTCTTCAAGGAAGCCTACCCCACCCCCTGCAAATTGCCGATCTCCTCCACTCTTCCTACCACTCCCATTTCCTCCTGTACCACTATCCCCTTCCTCCTTGATTGTAAGCTCCAAGGATCAGGGCCCTCGAACCCCTCGTGTATCGCATTGTATTGTTATTGTACTGTCTCCCATTGTAATGTACAGCGCTGAGCGAACTGTTGGCGCTATATAAATACTGTATAATAATAATAATAATCATGCAGCGAGGCAGGAGCTGGAGAGCGGAAACTTGTGCCATATCATCACCGGACCAGCAGATGCAGAAAACGGATCCGCGCTCAGGCGAGCAATAGTCGGCTATGGGCAGCAGAGATGAAGATTTAGGAGACAAAGAGTGTAAACAGAAGCCAAGCCAGGGTCAGTATCACACAAGCAGGAGATGTCGCCAAAACAATAAGCAGAATGCAGAGTCAGGTAACAGAAGGATCAAGATCGAAGTCAGAAGGCAAACCCGGTAGAACACAGAAGCAAGCAGTCTGGTCACGAGAGATGATGACCACTCAACAATGAACCTGAGTTTTGCAGTGATTTAAATGGGCCACTGGGTGCCAAAGTAAAGTCCAACATGTATGCTAATGCGCATGTATGGATACATTCACTGGTCCTGTGCACAGGTTTTCCGACTGTTGTGTGCGCATGTGCAGATCTTTGGGTATGAACACGTACTTGGTTTTCCTGACACCAACTTGTGAGCAGGGCGCAGGGCAGAGAGCACACAGAGTCCAGGTTTGGCAAAGGAAATGTATTTTACAAAAGTTCAGCAAGTGCAAACAGGCCCTGCGGGGAGTCACAGCTGACCGGCCACTTACAACTGTAACAGCAGTTTGAAGACTGAAAGATGTCAACAGCATCTGCTACGAGGAGAGGAATACGGCCTGGCCTGTCTACACCCCAAGGGGAGACTTTCTGAAGAGATAGACGTAGTCCCTGCACTGTTATGCCTAAGCACTGTCCCTGACAGAGGGGGAACCTGTCCCCACGCTAGCCACTCGCATAAAGTGTTCCAAGCCCAGGAGTCAGAGTCTAAAGTAGACTCTGCCTGACCCAAGATGGTCGCCAAAGTCTAATTGGATAGCTGCCTCCCTGTAACCGAGGAAATCATAGAGGAACCAAGTTCCTTTAAACCTCCTCCCACATCTGCATTGCCGCTGCAGTCGAGTGCCACAAGAATCCAGACTGTACCTGCCTGCAAACTGCAGTAAATATTTTTTCCTTCCATGTGAGTACCATTCATAGGATGCAAAAATGTCACCTTAGAACAGCCATTCCCAATCAGGGTTGCAAGGAGCCCTAGAGTTCCTCCAGAAGTTGCTAGGGGTCCCTTGAGCTATGGCTGATTGACCTTCCCATCTGATCGTGTCTGCATAGTTTCCAGGGCCAACGCTACTTGGCAGAACCAGCAGCATGACCCAATACTCTTTTTAGCTGTCTGTACGGGTGGCACTCATTCCACCACTGCAAGGGCTGCATTCTTCCCACTGACCACCAATGGTGACCAAGATCAAGATGTATTTTTGTCATCGACTCCCAATTGCATCGGTTTTATTACGGGTTCCTCAAGATCTGAAAATTATTTAAAAGGATCCTTTGGTTGAGGAAGGCTACCTAAGATGACCCAAGGACACCTGATAAAGCCAGGGCTTGCCTGTAGGTGATGGCAGTCTTTCCTACCCATCCAATGTCCACTCTACCTTACTGCCACCAGACAAGGCCATACCACTTCTTACATTCCCACAAGAGTTTTGTATTGGGTGCCATGAGTGAAAACAAAAGTTTTTATCCTTAGTTTCTGGGTTCCTTATGTCTGCACTAGACAAGTTGTGTTTCATTTGTCAAGGCTCTACCATTCTATCCAGCTGCTGCATGAGCGTGGTCCATCTGCTCTCTAGATTTATCTCTCTAAGTAGTCTCTATAAGGCGGGTGTATATAAATTACTGGACTACAATTAACCACCATTAACAGCAAATGGCCATATAATGACCGGCATTAACATAATTGGCCGCTGAGGGCCCCTGTGAAGGGAAATGTTTCCCATTGAGCTCTGTGCAATGGCCCGACTGTCCAGCGCAATATTCATCTGGGAGGACAACACAACAGTATGTTGGTCCCAGTCCTTCGATGTCCAGCGCTGCAATGTAGACGGGTACTTCTAGCAGTTCTCACATCTAATCCCAAGGACACAGGTGCTGGTCCTGCACTGATTACAGTCCTGGTGTGATGGTGTCAATGGTGAGTTTTTTTTTTCGTTTAAGCCCATGGTCGACTTTTGAAAGCAATTGACAGGCAGCTTGCTGCATGCAATGTGGCCTCCCAAGCAATGCCTTTAGGTCTACTGCACCCAATACCGGGACAACCAGGGCAAGCATGCAAAACTGCGCACCCCTACCCCACTGCTAATGCCTGCCATAGAATGGGTATACCACCTTGTGCCCATGCCCTGCCCCCTCGCTTCAGCTGTCCATGCGTGGCATGGAGTCTGCACTGCCCATTGCTTTCTCTAGAAGTTATTTGCACAATATGGAACGTTTTGGTGTCAGCTGCAGGAAGATGGCATGGAGAGTGGGCATGTTGGAGCCAGGGGCGGACTGACCATTTGGAAACTCGGGCACTGCCCGAAGGCCCGGGGTCAGTAGGGGGCCCCATGAGATGCCCCTGGTACCTTTTTCATAGGCTTTTTTGAGTTTGGGCAAGGACACAGGGGCCCATGATCCCCTATTGCCCGGGGGCCCCATGAGTTGTCAGTCCACCCTGGTTGGAGCACAGCGTGACAGCAGTAACTGTCCACACCAAATCCAACTTCACTGGATGTTAGTCCGAATCAGGGGCGGACTGACAACTTATGGGGCCCCCAGGCAATAGGGGATCATGGGGCCCCTGTGTCCTTGCCCAAACTCAAAAAAGCCTATAAAAAAGGTACCAGGGGCATTTCATGGGGCCCCCTACTGACCCCGGGCCCTCGGGCAGTGCCCAAGTTTCCAAATGGTCAGTCCGCCTCTAGTCCGAATTGAGGTGCGCCTTGGAAGACATCCGTGCGACTTCATACACAGGTGTCTTTGCAAGTCGCACCTGAACTTGCAAAAAGTAGAGCATTAAGTACTTTCAAAATCAGTGTGACTCCGATGGAGCCAGAATCGCACCAATATGGCCGCTTCCATTGCGCACAATAAGGCGCGACTTGTAATGCGATTTGAAATTATGAAATCGCATGAGAATCTGAACCAGTGTGACCAGGGACTTAGAACAGACATGAAGCTGTGGCCCGCTGGTTGCTAGCCACTGACCTGGAGCTTGCACACAGAGAAGGTGCACCCTCCTGTACTTCTGCGCCCTGGGCAACTGTAAGCTCATTAGAGCTTACAATCTAAGAGTGCATCGCATTCGAAATTTTGTGATTGCGTCCGATTTTCAGGGCATTTTAGCACGTTTGGCAGTCCATTATTTTTCAATGGGTTGCCTTAACCACTTCAAGTCCGGACACTTTCACCCCCTTCCTGTCCAGGCCAATTTTCAGCGCTATCACACTTTGAATGACAATTGCGCGGTCATGCAACACTGTACCCATATGAATTTTTTAGCATTTTTTTGAGACAGATAAAGCTTTATTTTGGTGGTATTTATTCACCACTGGAATTTTTATATTTTTTTGCTATATAAATGAAAAATTCCAACAATTTTGAAAAAAAAGTGTTTTTCTTATAACATTTTGCAAATAAATAATATCTCATCATAAATCTTGGCCAAATATTATTCCGTTATCTTTTTAGTAAAAAAAAAAATAACCCAAATTAGTTTATAACCAAAATTATAATTTTTAAACATTTTTTTTTTTTATTTATTTTAATTTTTTTTTTTTAAATATATTATTTATTTTATTTTTTATTTTTTTTTTTACATACTGTCACCCTAGCAGTACAGTGTCACCAGGCATGTTATTGGCCAGATCATCAGGTGAAAACAGAGGGGGAAAGCCCCCCCCCCCCAAAAAAAAAGAAAACTAATGCAGCCACCACATCTAATAATTGGTAAGCTGAAATATTTGACATTTTTGGTTTAATATCGCTTTAATGCAACATCCGCCAAATAGCAGCATAACGCGCGTTATCGCACCGCAAAACATTTAAATGGTCCCTGGAACCCTCAGAGTTTACTAGGATCTTGGCAAAATAAATATCTGAGCTGGAGGAGATGTTTTTTTCCTCTATAAAACTTGTTTTATTTGAAGCGTCAGTCGGCCGTAAACTTTTCACGCGAGTCGCCCCGTGGATACAAAACATTTTGTATTTTATTTTTCCTCCTTGTGTTATTTTATTCTTTTATTCTGCTGACTAATTGCTGTTCCGTCGTTATCCAGGAAGACTAAGGCGAAGGATAATGAGCGGCAGATAAGATCGAAATTACACAGGAAACAAATCGACTTTCACAGCAATTGCCGTTCCCAGAGGAAGATAATTATATTGATACTTTACTCCACAAACCACTTTTCTGGTCTGTGGAATACAGTATATATAGAAGGGGGGGGGGGGGAACGTCACACGCCATGTGCGCAGGACGCCAAACGCTCAGTTAAAGGGGTCGGTAACCGCAAACTACAAGTTCGAGTTATGTCAAGCATTTATAGAGATCTATGGAAGAGATTCAGGAGATTATATGGGCTGGGGGCAGGGGCGTCCCTAGGTGCGGGGGGTGCGCGCCACACCATGTGACTACTACCGCACAGGGTGACACCAGACCCGCTCCACGAAAAAAAGTAAGTTGTAAAGAAAGCCGACGATCCCCGCAGGATGGATTAGATCTGCGGATTGAGCATAATGGATCAGAGTCTGATCCATTATCCTCCCCAATCCGCAGATCCGATCCATCCTGCGGGGATCGTCGGCTTGCTTTACAACTTACCTTGTCATGGAGCAGGTCCGGTGTCACCCCGTTCATTTTGCATGCCGACGATCCCCGCAGGATGGAACGGATCTGCGGATTGAGCATAATGGATCCGAGTCCGATCCATTATGCTCCCCAATCCGCAGATCTGATCCATCCTGCGGGGATCGTCGGCTTGCAACCTATACGGGGTTAACTGATCTCTCCACGAGCTCCACGAAAAGGTAAGTTTTAAAGCAAGCCGAAGATCCCCGCAGGATGGATCGGATCTGCGGATTGGGGAGCATAATGGATCGGACTACAATCCATTATCCTCAATCCCCAGATCCCATCCATCCTGCGGGGATCGTCGGCTTGCTTTACAACTTATCTTTTCGTGGAACGGGTCTGGTGTCACCGCTTATAGGTTGCATGCCGACGATCCCTGCAGGATGGATAGGATCTGTGGATTGGAGAGCATAATGGATCGGACTCCAATCCATTATGCTCAATCCGCAGATCGGATCCATCCTGCGGGGATTGTTGGCTTGCAACCTATAAGGGGTTAACTGATCTCTCCACGAGCTTCACGAAAGGGTAAGTTGTAAAGCAAGCCGACAATCCCTGCAGGATGGATCGGATCTGCGGATTGAGCATAATGGATCGGAGTCCGATCCATTATGCTCCCCAATCCGCAGATCCGATCCATCCTGCGGGGATCGTTGGCTTGCTTTACAACTTACCTTTTCGTGGAGCGGGTCCGTGTCACCCCGTTTACATTGCATGCCGACGATCCCCGCAGGATGGATCGGATCTGCGGATTGAGCATAATGAATCAGGCTCTGATCCATTATGTTCCCCAATCTGCAGATCTGATCCATCTTGTGGGGATCGTCAGCATGCATCTAATCTCTCCACGAGCCCCACGAAAAGGTAAGTTGTAAAGCAAGCCGACGATCCCCGCAGGATGGATCGGATCTGCGGATTGAACATAATGGATCGGAGTCTGATCCATTATGATTCCCCAATCCGCAGATCCGATCCATCCTGCGAGGATCGTCGGCTTGCTTTACAACTTACCTTTTCGTGGAGCGGGTCCGGTGTCACCCCGTTTATAATGCATGCCGACGATCCCCACAGGATGGATCGGATCTGCGGATTGGGGAATCATAATGGATCGGACTCGATCCATTATGCTCAATCCGCAGATCCGATCCATTCTGCGGAGATCGTCGGAGGGGGTGTCACCAAGTGTTATCGCACCGGGTGACACCAACCCTAGGGACGTCCCTGGCTGGGGGGAAATATTTTTCTTACGCACAGCTGACTTCCTGCTCGTAGAAGAATGGTTCCAGATGTGGGGAGTTTTCAGAGCTAATAAAATATTAAGGTTTTATACCATCTTTATGAAAACCAGACACATTTAGGATCGGTTCATGCAAATTTTAAGAGGGGGCAAGCGGCTTCCAAGGACTGAGGGTCTCTAATGTTTGAGCCATTTATTTGCATGATTCTGCTGGTGGGGCCCGCTGAGAGAGCGATAGAAATGCGGGCTGGACGAAGACTGAGAAAAAAACCCCACAGGCGCTGGATGCTGTGTCGCAGTGTTAAAGCGGTTGTAAACCTCTACAATGAAAAATGAACAAAGCATATCCTTCTGTAGTGTGTACTTGCCTCAATCCAAAGTGCTGAGTGCGATTTCAGGCTCCTCTCCCATTCCTCTACTATTTGCATTAATCACTTCTGGCAGTCTATGCCTACACCAGACAATCCTGGGAGACAGCCCAGCCACCCCCCAGCACACAGCAGGTGATTGACAGCTTAAGCTCTGAATGGTTCTCCATGGGACTGTGTAAAGGGTGTGTGTGTCTTTTCCCTCCACTCAGGTCTCAGATTACACTCAGCTCCCTGCTCTCTGCTGTGCAGTGTGTGACATCAGGTCCTCACCCCCTGCCTTCTGGAGCTAATGAATGCTATGTCAATTCTGAATTTTTAATAGCTCTGGAGAAGAGATGACTTCAGGTAAACAGGTACAACTTATACAGGAGGATTTGTTTCATCTCTTTGCATCATCTGGAACTAGCCACTCCACTGGGCATATGTAAGGGTTTACAACCACCTTAAGTATACTCGACTTGGAAATGAGTTAGAGTTAAACCAGATCTCCAGTCAAAATTTCCTTTATTGTGGCCATATTATTGGGAAAGGAAGTGAGGGGAAGTAATGTCTTAGTACATTCTTCCTTGAGGAAATTTGCCTCCCATGATGCACTGCATTCCGCTTCTCAACTGGATAATACTAATCACCATAAGATAGTAATAATGGTCATTTCTTGGTCATAGATATCAAACGTCCCAGATTTGTGAGAGGCAGTCCCTGTCAGGACCAGGATCTGAACCCACAGCCTCTGCTGCATCTGGCAGTAGCTCGCCTTGCTGAGATGCTGGACAGCTTCCCCTCTGAACCCTTGGAACTCTTTGCTCCACCCATGAACTTCCTATTTTAGCCATGCCTTTGCACTTCCTGTTTGCCAGAATTATTGTGCTCTCTCGCTCCTTTGTGTGCCTGCAGCTGTCCTTATCTCCAATAACACTCGTTACCAACCTTTGGCTTGTTTACTGATTACACTTTGCTTGATCCCAATTGTAATGGAACCCGACCCCGACTGCACTTGGGTACTTCCGTTATAATACCGCTTCCCCGTCCGAACACTGACCACAGACACCACCGCTGACCATACAAGACTAGACAACACCAGTCTTGAAATAAAACCAGGAAGTAGACTACTTTATTTTAACACAGATACAAGATATATACATTCAAGGGAACAACCCCCCCCCCCCCCTCCCTACATAAGGACACAAGGTGGGGCAATCTATATTTAGTAACAAGAGACACACCAGCAGACAGTCCCATCAGGAGGGAGGGCTGCTGGAAACACCCCTATCACGTACCTGGTGATGGAGGCCAATGGAGAGAGGGCTTCCCTTGCGGCTAAGTTCCAGACTCCCCTGAGAGTGGGAGTCAGGGACAAAGTTGCACAGGTCGCCTGTAGGAGTGCTGGTTGGTGGTCCACTCAGAAGCACAGCTGGTGCACGGGGATAGGTCTGCAGACAGGAGGAGCTTGGTATGCAAGCCCTTCTGGGATTTAGATGTTTATTGTGTAGTCAGTTCAAGCCAAGGTCAGGTGCCAGGTGGGAATCAGAACAGACATAGTCAGATGGGATAGCCGAGGTCATTCACAGAGGAGCGAGAGAGAGAGTATCCGTAAGCCAAGCCCAGGTCAGATCAGGGGTAAAGCAGAGCAGACAGGTCCAGGAGCAAGCCGAGTCGGTAACAGGAAATCACAGGTCAGAATCACAGGAAACAGGAACAGGGCACGGGGAGATAGAGATCATCCAGCAACTTGAGAAAGTGATGAGCCTCCTTATAAAGGCCGTCTGGCACCAAACTGAGGCTGATGTGTGCAGAGTACTGGAAGAAATGCCAGATCTTCCAGAACTTCTGCCGTGGACAGGACCCTGACAACCCCCAACCAAGCCAATACACACAAACACATACATCCCATAATAGTTTGCTCCCAAGCAAGACACACAATAGAACAATGGGATGCAACCACAAGGCATTAAACAATCAACAACCCCCCACCCCAATATTAGCACAGATCACCCTGTACCCCTAACAGGCACAGGGTGACTTACATATAATAGGGATATAGGGAGCTGAGACAGGGGTCTCCCCACCTCTTCAAAGTGAGCTGTGTTCCATGGGCCCCCCACCCAAAGTCACTCCCATCACACCAATCTGCTATATCTGCTTCTGGACCCTGGCTTGCTCACCTCCTGGACTACGACCTGTACTAACAAGCAGCAAAACCCATCTCCACCATCAGGAGCTCTGGTGAATACTGGTTAGTGCTTAGACCCCGCACCTCAGATGAGCCCGTGTCCTCCGCCAGGGTGACCTGCTTGTGTACCTATCCAGCTAGTCAATGAGAGCCTCTCTACTGCTATTGCTACTGGTCTCCGCTCTTTACCCCTGACTGTGACAGTCCCACATCTTGGTCCTCTACCCTGCTGATATGTCCTGGGCCATGTGCCGGGATCACACCATCTCCCTTATTTGAGTTACTGCACATGCAAAATAATTTAAGAAAGGCCTTAATTGTGGTGGTTGGGGCTGCAAGTGGGTGGTCTTTGTATATTTAAAGGCAGGGTCTAGGCAAGGCCAGTCAATCAGGGGAGATGCTGGGAAGTCTCTGCATAGAGGGTGGGGTCTTGACAGGATCAACTCAAAAATGGGCATGATTTGGACATGTCCATCTGGAAACTGTTAACTATGAAGTAAGTTAACAGTGTCCCAGGTCAAGGACTTTAATGTTGGTAAGGATGTACTTGGTGATGCAAAGTCACCCCCTAAACTGCAGTTCCTGGTTTACAATACACATCTAGAGGAACTTACAAAGCCACCCACAACTCCAGCTACATCGCCAACTTGGTCTCAAAATATCAACCAAACCGCTCTCTTCCATCCTCCCAAGACATTCTGCTCTGCAGTTTCCGTGTCACCTCTTCCCGTGCTCACCTCCAAGACTTCTCCCAAACTTCTCCCGTCCCATGGAACTCCCTACCCCAATCTGTCTGACTATCTCCTAGTCTATCCACCTTTAGACAATTCCTGAAAACCTTTCTCTTTAAAGAAGCCTATCCGGCTTCTATCTAGTAAACTGCTTTTTACTTCCTCCATCAGCTCATCCCCCTCCACAGCTATTACCTTTTGTATCACTCAACCCTTCCTCCTAGATTGTAAGCTCTCAGGACCAAGTGAGCGCTTAAAATAGATTATAAAAATTAATAAAATTGTATAAATAAATGTAATGAGACATTTTGTAGCGCTGAACACCAAAAAAGGTACCGTATAAACCTTCAAAATAATCACTGAATTTGCATAAAAGGGGGGGGGGGGGTAGCAGCGCTAAATTAATAAATACACATTCATATAAACCAATGTTTGAGGTGCTGATAAAGTGCAAAAAGGTGACTATAAATAATGAGTTGTAGTCCGCCCCTAACGTGATCAAAACCCAAGAGAGTGTTTTGGGTGGAACTCCAATGGCTGGATTCGTGGATGCGATGATAAAACATATAATGATGCGCACTCACCAGATACGCAATTCCAAATGCGCATTAAAACAGAAATCCTAGGGTCCTCATATGGATCTGGTCAGATCTGGTCACAAAAGCCCCTCGCCACTTGATAGTGTTCACTCAGCTAGATGAAAAAGGCTAACAGGCCGCTCTCACTGGGCCACAAGAATTCTGACTATCCGAATCCAGTAACCAAACAGAAGAAACAGCGCGGTCTCATGCAGAGCCAAAGTTGGAAATTTGCTATTTACAGTGCAGATGTCACTTCACATAGCATAACCTGTGAGCAGGGGCTGATTGGAGACAGCAAGGAGACGCACTCAATCACAAGTGTCTGCAGTGCAGGGCTCCTGCGCTTTGTGTCTGAATGGACAGACAGAGCAACGGCTCAGGAGTAAGCCTGCTCGGGTACACCCATAACAAGCTGCTTGCTATTGGGGCAGTAAGCAGAAAGAAGGGGCCAGGAGTGCCAGCAAGGGACCCAAGAAGAGGAAGATTGGGGCTGTTCTGTGCAAACCATTGTACAGAGCAGGTAATTATGACATGTTTGTTATTTAACC